GGTACCTGCCCTCGGGCGCCATTGTTGAGCAACAGGGGTGAGTGGCCGTCGTCACCAATTTCCTGATACACCCGCTAACCCTCTCAGCCTGTACCAAGCCTGTGGTATCCTCGGCGCCACCGTCATGCCCCACAGCCTCTTTCTCGGCTCCGGCATCGTCCAGCCCCGCCTCTTCGACTACGACGCCAAGCACGGCCTCCTCCCACCCACGCCCTCCCGCGCCTCCTCCCCCTCCAACGACACCTCCGAGAAGACGCAGTACATCCCCTCCCTCCCCGCCATCACCCACTGCCTCAAGTATTCGATCCTCGAACTGGCCATCTCCCTCTTCACCTTTGCCCTCTTTGTCAACTCGGCCATCCTCATCGTCGCCGGCGCCTCCCTCCACTCGTCCGACTCGGCCGACCTCGACACCAAGGATATCTTCTCCATCCACGCCCTCCTGAGCACCACCATCTCCCCGGCCGCCGGCACCATCTTCGCCCTCGCCCTCCTGCTGTCGGGCATCTCGGCCGGCATCGTCTGCACCATCGCCGGCCAGATGGTCAGTGAGGGCGCCCTACGCTGGCGCATGCGCCCGTGGCTGCGAAGGCTGGTGACGCGCGCCATCAGCATCACGCCGTCAATCATCATTGCGGGGGCGGTCGGGCGGCAGGGGCTGGGGGACGCGCTGACGGCGAGCCAGGTGGTGTTGAGCAGCGTGTTGCCGTTTGTGACGGCGCCGCTGATTTGGTTCACTTGTCTCAATCGGTATATGACGGTCAGGCCTGGCAGGATGGCGGACTTTCGGGTCGAGGAAGAGGCGGGGAGGGGGGTATTTGCGAGGAGGAGGTGGGCGGGGGGGGCGGAGGGGGGGATCAAGATGGCGAATTCCTGGTGGCTTGCGGTTCTGGCGGGGCTGGTGTGGTTGGTGATTGCGGTGATGAATGTCGCCAACTTGGTGTTGCTTGGGTTAGGGAAGGGCTGAGGACAGGGGGAGGCGGGACGAGATGGTGGATGACCGTCACCACTGTCGCTTTTCCCTGGGATTCACAAAAGTTGTTGCCCATGGGTTCAACGCTCAATCTGCATCGGCCGCAGGGCAAACTGCAAACCGTGGAAAATTATCCTGAATAGAACAAGTTCTCGCTAGCGACCCTCATCAGTCTAAATTTTGGAACATCATCTTGTGATATTGTCGTCGGAAGTGAGAAGAAAGGACGTCAAGGCAAGGAATTGATCGACCTGCCAAGTCACGCAAGCCTTTTCGCCAATCTGCGCCAAGACGTCGGCAGTCCCCTGCAAGCAGCGCGTTCCAGGGACACCCCGCCTCTGCAAAGCCCACCCCACCTCCACTTTCAACGTCTTGTTTTCTCCCCTGCTTCTCACATTGCCGGTTCTCCCCTTTTCATTGGGGATTGCAGTGGACCACACCTGCCATCTCACGATCCATCACCCCTCAACACCAAACTCCCTCCGTCAAGATGGATCGCGACCAGGCCATGTCGGAGAATTTGATGGGTGAGTCCTCCCTTGCTCAATCTCATAAATGATGAAACCCAATGATGTCCTTTGTCCCCCCTCATGTCAACCATCATCCACATCACACATCAATCACCCAACCAGCCTTGACCACCCCCAATCCCCCCCCCCCCGACCCGCCCAAAAAAGATACCCCCATCTAACACCCCCCCAGACAGCAAAGACAAACTCATCGCCGAAGCCCTCACCGTCTTCCGCGAAATCGTCTCCACCGCCGCCGCCAAGGTCGACAGCACCGCCTCGGCCGGCCAGGCCTCGGTCAACACGATGGGCATGGAGATTCTGGCCAACGGGCTTGTGCGTCTCCCCCCCCCCTCCCCCCTTCCATCTCGCAACTGACCAAAGAACAGACCAAAACGACAGAAGACCTCCTCATCCTCACGCGCCGCCTCCGCGAGCTGTGGGTCGTCGGGCCGCTCAAGCCGGCCGGCGAGGGCGACGACGCGGCGCGCGAGAGCGTGCGGCAGGACGCCGAGGCCGTGTTTGCCGTCATGAACCGGCAGCGGGCCGAGGGGAGGCGGACCGATGGCGAGGGGGGGGTCATGGAGTATCGGGTGGGGGGGCTGCAGGGGGGGCAGGGGGCGGTGTGAGGGGGGTGGTCTTTGCGGGGGGTTGGTTGGGGGATTGGGTTATGGGTGTGGAGGTAGCAGGCCCAACACGAAGGGGATGCTCAAGATCCAGGCGCGGTTCGTGTCACGGTGGATGAACAGAGTTCACGATGGACGGGAGCAAGGTTGGGGTATTTGTTCCCATTCTTGACAGCACCAAGGCCGCCAGATCATCCGCTGGATGCCCCAAAGGGCTCGCTGAACGCACTACCAGTCCTCGTCTATGGTGAGAGTACATCAAGTCCCAATCTCCACCACGCCGTCCGCCTCCTCGCCCAGCTCCGCCTCCAAAGCCTTGGGCACCTTTTCCCCCGTGCGGTTGGACCGCTCGTGCGACGCCTCGAGCCCACCGGCAGTGACCCAGAGGAAGTAGTCGGTCCGGAAGTTGTCCACCTGGTTGAAGAAGAGATGGAACCTATGACAGTCAGTAGGTACTCATGATCCGGGTAAAGGAAACTCACGCATTCTCCTTCTCCTCCACCTCAAACATGCGCCGGTAGATGTGCTCGTCCTTGAACTTTTGGATCTTCTCCTCGTGCGGCGCAAAGTCGACGGCCTCGCGCCCCAGGGTCACCGCCTTCTTGTTGAACTCGGTAAACATGGGCCGCTCGAGCATCAGCCCCAGCCCCGGCGCCTTGGGGATGCTGATGCGGCGGTGGCCGTAGCTGTCCGTGATCAGACTGAGCGGCGCGCCGCAGCGCACCACCATGACGGCCATGGCAATCATCTTGCGGATCTGGTGCATCATGAAGCTCTGGCCGTGGATCTTGATCGAGAGCCACTCCGTGTCGCCAATGTGGATGGGCGTCCGGTTGACCTCGAACGACTTGATGTGGCGGTTGGCCGACGCGTCTTTGGAGGATTTGAGGATCGTGTAGTTGTGGAAGTTGTGGGTGCCCAGGTACAGGTCCAGCGCCTCTTGGAGCTTGTCGAGGCGCGTGGGCGTGACGCGGTACCGCCGCTTGGCAGCGATGTAGGCCCCCTTGAGCTCGCGGACAGCAACTTCGACGGGTGATAATTGCTTCTCTGGCTTTGGCGTGGGCGCGGAATTGGCTGTCTCGGTGGAAGTCTCGGCCGCGGGTGGGGGGGCTGGCTCGGCGTCTTTTGGCGCCTCGTTGCTCTCGGCGGCAGGGATGTCCTTCGCCGCGTCGGTTTCGGTATCCTTCATCTCAACATCTGCGCTCGCCTTTGTGGTCGCGCCCTCTGGAGTCTCGTCGTCGAGCTCCTTGTTGGCACTATCGCGGAGAATTCGCAAGACCTCGGCTCTCACATTGGGATCGAGCTTCTCCAGGATCGGCGATATGGTTTCCTCCTCGACCGTGTCCCAGTACCCCTTGACGTCGTCCAGCCGCCCCATGTATTCCTCGTATACGCCCTTTTCCTTGGCCGAGTCGATAATCTTCTTTCCGAGGAAGCTGTGGGCTTGTGGCGGGAGCAGCGAGTAGCTGGGCATGAGGTACTCGTACCATCGCGAGTCGCAACCGTGGTAGGCGCTAAAGGAGCCCGGTGTGCGCTGTATGCCCCATACCCGGATTTGCTCGGGCAGGTTCTGGTTGATCTTGTCGACAACGTCTTCGTCCTCGACGATGAGCTTGAGCGACAAGACGTTTCCGGCGGCGTGGACGCCCTTGTCGGTGCGGGCGCAGCGGACGAGGCTCGACTTCTTGGGGTCGTCGGCATTGGCCTTGGAGATGGCGCCGGCGGCCACGAAGGCGGCAAAGATGTCGCCCTCGATGGTCTTTTCCTTGTGGTTGATCTGGATGCCGTGGTAGCCGGTGCCGGCGTAGCCAATGAGCACGGCCACCTTGCGCTTCGGTCTTCGCTCCTCGGCGGCGATCTCGTCGGGGGTGAAGTTGATGCTCATGTAGCTGTTGCCGTCCACCTCGTCGTCAATGACCTTGCGACGCTTGGCGGCGCGGTTCTCTTGGACTTGGTCGCGCTTCGAGGGATATTCGCGGTTCCTGAGACACTCTTGTCAGAGTCGGCATGGGCGCAAGACGCAAAAGGGAGCAATGGGGGGGGAGAGAGGGGGCATACCTATTATTTCCGCCAAAGCCGCCAGTCTGTCCGTCCTTGGCCTGCCTGTCGTTGCCTCTGCCACCGCCGCGGCCACCACCGCGGCCTCGGCCTCCGCCGCGCTTCCCACCACGCCGGTCCCGTCCGTCGCGCTTCTCGCCATTGCCATTGCCGTCGCCATTGTCGCGCGAGGGCTGTTGTTGGTCGGAAGAGCCCGCAGAAGGGACTGCCGGAGCAGGTTGGGTCTCGTCGGATGGCATTTCGAGAGGTGTTGCAGGTGGGCGAACGCTCGCATTTGTCGCGTCGAGGTCGAGGAGGGGGACTTCAACTTGGCCGATCCAAAATTTGCCAAAGTTTCCCGCAAGCCCACTGTCCAGGGCTTATCGGGGTGCATCAGGCGCTTCTTATCGGAGCTTGGCGCGGTGGGGCGGGGCCGGTGACAAGAAATACACTTTCAGTGCCTTCATCACTGGGCAGTCCCCTGTACTTTTCTGGACTGCCCAAGCTCCCCGCAACACCAAGGTTCAGCAGATTTCCAATGCCGGTTCGAACCGAGATTCGACACCATCGTCATTCTTTTTTTCCAACAAGCAACACGGATCACAGCAAAAGATTAACTGCACCGCCCTCTCCCCCGAGTATGGAATACTTGGCAAACCCCGAGTTTCCAAGAGTCCAAAGTTGACACGGCACCTGGCCGCTGGAAGCGACACGCGTCTCGATTATGGCACTGGACAGCTGCGAGGTGACACCGGGCAGCGTCAGCGACACATCCTCATCCGGGGAATGGGTCAAAGACCGCCTTACTGCAGCCGCCGTCACCTGCAAAGAGTGGGACTCGTTCTCATCTCCTCAGGGCCGCTGGTCTAGTGGTATGATTCTCGTGAGTATTCCCTCATCAACTTCGGCTGTCCATATTGTGGATGCACATCGAGTCATCAACTAACAACAACAAATAGGCTTAGGGTTCACCCTAAAGTACACATTGCGAGAGGTCCCGGGTTCAATCCCCGGGTGGCCCCCATCTTTTTGCCGGATTTGTTCATGGGTTCATGTCTTGATTCTGCCTTGTTTTTGCCCATGTGGCGTTGCAGTCTGTCTGTCTATCTGACCTGTCTTCATGGCATGCCGTGTCCCGACTCCCTAGTGACCCAACCTCGGCAGCCACAGCTCCCCCGTCGCCTGCACCTCCAGACCCTGCGCAATCCCCAGATATCTCGGCGACCGGAAGCTACACGCCCCCAACACCAACACATCAGCAAAAGCAAATAAGGCACAGCAACCCCCTCACCGCGACACAGAACCCCACACCCAGGTACACCCCCCGGACAAACTCGGACACCAACAAGCGGAAAGGGAGGGTGGAAACGAACCTCCAGTGCAAGTTGCCCAGCGCGAGGTCCCGGCACACGGCCGCGAACCGGAGGACCTCGCGGTCCAGCACCTCGCCCCACGTCGGCATCTCGGCCAGCGCGAGGTACCAGCGGCGGTAGCACGCGTCGAGCATGGTGGAGATGTGGTTGAGCGAGGACTGGATCGACGACGACCCCGAATGCGTGCCGAGGAGGGTGATGAGGTTGATGGAGACGTTAAGGTCCTGGTATCCGGGTCAGCAGACAGCAAACACGGGAGAGGAGGTTGGGGCTTGCCATGTCCTTCTTGAAGGAGATGACGTCGTTGTGCCTGTCACATCAGCCACTATCGCAGTACAGGCACCAGGGAACTCACAAGATGACCAGCTCGGCCGAGATCCTCATCAGGTCCTGCACGCACGGGTGCGCAAACACGGCCGGCGGCAGGTCGACGCCCGTGACGTACTCGATGACAGCGATGGCGGGGTCGGCGCCGATGGTGCCGAGGCGCATGGCGAGGTACTCGGCGACAGTCGTCGGGCAGGCCTGGCCGGCGTGCGTGTTCTGGACCTGCTGGAGGAGGCCGTCAAAGTAGCGCTTATGCATGTCGCGCCAGTGTTGCTGCTGGTCTCGGGGGAGGTTAGTGGAGGCTTGGGGGTTGGAGGCAAGGGGTGGTACCCGGGGTTGAGTTCTGTGATGAGGCGAGGTCAGTGATGATGTTGGGGAGGGGGGTGGGGAGGGGATGTGCTACCTTCATGAAGCGGTCCCAGACGGACTGGAAGATGTAGCCCAGGGGGTCCTCGTCCTGCTCGATGCGGACGGTGTTGTTCATGAGCGCCATCATCTGGTCGAGCTTCTTTTGCGCGGCGGGGACGTCATCCTTGAGGACGCCCTCGTCAAAGACTGTGGGGGGGTGTCAGTGTCGGTTCGTGGCACCAGACAGACGAAATAGGGGTGCGTACCATCATCAAAGATGAAGACCTGCGAGATATGGAGTCAGTCACCAACAAGAGAAGCATGGGGAAAGGGGACGCACCCAGTTGCCCCAATCTGCCAGGAGGATGAGGCCATCTTCATCGGCAGTCGGGGCCCACGCGGAGGCGAGGTAGGTCACGTCGACCATGGAGTTCTTGACCGACCACTCTTGGGACTTGCCGAGGATTCTGGAGATACGATCAACACCGACCCCCGGCCATCGACGCGCTTGGGAAAGAAGGGACTCACCTCTTGGTCCAAGAGTCAATCTTGGGCTTGGCACTAAAGTAGTGCGGGTTGAGGACGGGCTTGGGCGACATGATGGACGACAGCATGTCGGGGACCTTGACGAGGATCTCGGTCTGATCGACGTCGACGCCGGCAGGGGCCGGCTGGCTAGCCCCCTTGGTCGCGGGTGAGTCCATGGTGGGCGAGGCAAAGGACGTCTCGTCGGAGCACACCGAGGACGGCGAAGACGAGGTGGTGGTCAGGTTGGCAAAGGAATCGTCGCCCGAGTCAGAGGTTCCGCTGCCCTGCATCTCAGTGGTGTCGAGGTCAGACTCGGAGTTGGCTTGAGTCTCCGTGATTTGAAGAGGAGGGATTTCAGAAGGGGCACTCTGGGTTTCTGTGGTGGGAGTCCCAGGGAGAGGGGGCAAGTCCTGTGCTGGGAATGGGGTGCTCGGGGGAGAAGGGCAGACGTTGAAGGTATCAAAGCCGCCGGCCTTTTTGTCTTTGACGTCAGTGGGATGGTGAATGGGGGCCGAGAAAGGTGTATTCTGCGGGCAGTGAATGTAGTCGATGGGGAGGGAGTCAACGGTGTTGTGGTCACCGGCATCTTTGTGGTCACCGGCATCTTTCGCGGTTGTGGGGGAGGGGCTGCTTCCAGAAACTGCGAAATCACAAAGGATAGGGGCGTTGACATCGTCGTTCATGTTGGGATGGAATTGCGTGATGGTCAAGACAACCAGGCCTTTGGCCTCAGGGGCAGCCTCAACCACAAACGGGGGCAAGGTCTTGTCGAATGTGGTGTCAAGACTGGCAGAGTCAGGAAGAAGGTCTGGAGTGGCACCGGTGTCGAAGTCAGGCTTGTCGAAGATGGGCTCAGCAAAGGGCCGCGTCTCGGTGGTCTCCATGGCTCGTTGGTACGGGACTGGATATGAAGGGGTGGGTCAAGATGAATCTGAGAGGGACTGTTTGCCGGAAGCAAGCAATCCTGGTTCCAGCATCATGGATGGGCTTTATATTCTGATATTCCACCTTGGCCAAGGCTATACTGCGATAAACATTCCCCACCCCTTTTCCGTCTGATGCCAGCTCGGTGGCAGAGAGCCCCACTGAGGTTCAGGAGCATCAGATGGAACTTGCACGGCCCGGGGTATTCGTGTCTCTTCCCCGAGCTAGCGCAAAGACGCCTTCCTTCTTACCATCAACTGCGAATGGCATCTCGGTGTGCAGTAGTGCCTGGGCATCCTCGAATAGTTGCCTCTTTCGTCGTCCCGGGGGTGATGGGCGCCGGGGACACATCACCACTGGTCGGTGTCTGGTCTTCAAGTTGGAGCCTTCACTTCTCATGTCTTGTGGAAGCAGCTCGTGTTCGTCTTGACCTGTCAGTGCGAGTTGAGCCTCGGTCAAGATAGGTAGTCTTGACTGGTCTGGACGCCCAACTCCCGAGTGCGAATAAGGCCGATTCACGTTGTCTTTTGGTTCAACATGAGCGATTTCATCTACCCTGCCCCTATTCTTACCAGAGATAAGCAATGGACATCCCACAGTATCGCAGCTTTGTTCCATACCTGCAAGAAAAAGATCCTCGCCGACGAACAGTGTTTACTTTCTCCGTCCCGTCCCAGTGCGCCAAAGGAAGGGCGTCCGAGGTAGAAAAAGTAAGGCTGCCTCGTTGGCTTTGCATATTTGGCTGTTTCTCGGGGGTCTGGACTCTGGACTCATATGTAAGAACTCCGGAGACTCGGAACTAGGTGCTCGAGCGAGTTGCGGTGTGTTGGGGGAGGTCGGACAGAATCAAGGGACACGCGGCTGGCTTACACGCGATCTACCTAGGTACACACATCTTGCCTCTTCAGGACCTCCAGAGAGCCTCAATGATCGGGTTGGCCAAGCAAGACTTTCCAGCGCATCAACCTTGCTTCTATCTGCACATCGCCCCCCACCTCCCCGCCCCCAAGACCTCCGCCGTTGGGGACATCAACAACGTCCAACGTCGCAACCCCCACTGTTCGGAACGCGGCCCGAAGTCTTTCGGATAGGTCAGTCCCGTCCAGATCGCTGGAGATGCATTCTTTCTTGAAATCGGACCAATGACGAGAACTGGATTCTTCTCCCGAACAAATAAAGACAGTGTTGTGTGCGACCAGAGCAGAGTCCCGGGAACCAGGTCGAGAGTGCCGAATGCCGGTAAGGGCCCCTAGTGGATGTTTCTTTTTTCTCCCCTATTTCCTGTGACATGTCACATTCTGCACATGCATGCACGTTGTCGGCGTCTCAGCTGGGCCAAGCCACCGACCAGATGGGTCTCTCGCAGCAACACCGGGACTCGTGACCCAAGATCGGCAATTGGACGGTGAAAGTCGAGAAGACAACACCGAGTGGCAGGATCGGACTCTGCTTGATCTCGGTCAATATTTGGAGTGCGGGGCAGGCGGATTACCCAGTGCAAAATGGGAATGGACAGAAGAAGTAATTCTGGCATTTGATCTCGGAATCGACAGACTTGGGAAAATGTACAAATACCTTCCAATCGTTCCACTGATGGAAAGTACTGGGCGTTAAACTGATATTGAATAAAGGTGCGGAAAAGGAAGAGGAACTTGCCCATTCCTTTGATTGCGGGTTTGTTTACTGGAAAAGGGGCCGAAAAAGGGGCTGCTGACATTTCCCCCCAAGTCTCACTTCCAACTTCCCCACCTCCGCGACTTCAACCCCCCTCGAAGTTGTTTTCAGGCACTGTTTCCCAGGCTGCACCCAAAACCCATCACCTGAAGTCGCTTTTGCACCAGTGTCCCGAGGCACTGTGATCGCTTTCATCCAGTCTGCACGCCTGGACCCCAGCCGCACACTGCACAGATACGATGTCGCTGCTCGTTTCAAGCATGCAGCTGGGAGATCGAATCACCTCCGCCGGCACTGAACCTTATCGGATCGGAACTACCCTTGTCGCAAAGCGCGGCCCTAAGACATTGTCCTGGATCGACCGCCCCGGACCGAAGGCCCCGCCCGTGCCTCGGGAGACGGGACCGGCACCGGACCGTCCGCCCGTCTATAACGAATTCGTACCTGGATACTAGTTTTTGGACATTCAAGAGTGGTTGCGACATTCTGATGCTCCTGGCCCGGTCGGCGTCAACCGGCATCCATCGACACCGCCTCTCGATGCCGCGAGCAACAAGGGACTGGACGGTGCCATCGCCGGTATGCGGAACAGACATTTATGCACTATAATCCCCAAGGTGCTACAGCACGCCGGGCCACTAGCCTTGCCAGTGGGGTTGGGATTCCCACATGTGGGTGTCGTGGAGGTACGGCGAGGGGAAGTGATGGTATGGGCTTGGTTGGTGGGTATGTCCAACTATGGGGCCGACATACTCGGAGATTTGCTCCTTGGGACGGCATGCTGTTGGGAAGCATCCCATGAATGTTTGGGTGGATTGCCTCTTTACGGTAGAGGTGCGCAATAATGA